TGATATTGACTGATATTTGAAGTACCATAACTTTTAGTCATCTAAGATTAAATTTGTTAGTGAAGTTCAAGTTTGCATAGTATTTTAGCTTTCCTAGAATTTTAAGCTGGGTGTTTGTTTTCTGAGAAGCATTTAGGTTAATACAATCAGGTTCTGACTTGGTGAGACAATTTAAGTATAAAAGTGTGTCTTTCTGTTTCTCAGTAGGAAATGTCATGAAAGAGTCTTCCTCAGCATGGTTTCACAGTTACCGTGTTTGCCTTTCGAGATCCAGTTCATTGGAGAGATTTTACTCAAGGTGGCTAAAGAATCTTTCATGAGCCCGTGGTGTCCTTTTGGTGCTCCTGTCCATTTTGAATGCAGAGCAGGATCTTTATAAATGGACTCTGATGCCTCGGTGATCTGTCTGTTCAGTAGCTTGTCATAGTTTATCATGCAGGAGTACAAAATCATCTGATAATCTGCTTGGTCAATCCTTGAACAGGGATAGTAATAATGAAGTCATAGTCAGCCACTGTAAATCCCTCTATTCCAATACATTAATATTCTCAGTACTTTGGCTGTTAAGGTTGCTTTAAATATAAGAAAATCTCTCTGTGAAATGTTCTTTGATCTTTTTGATTGGTCTACCTTAAAGATATTAAGAATTCATTGTGGCTTTTGGTTTTTGTCTTAAGATAAATTAAAATCATATATACTTACATAGTTTTGTACATGGGCTTTGTTAAAGCTTATATTAAACTAGTCGCAGATTAATCTCATGGTTTTTTCAGTTGTTCTGTGGTATTTCCTTTGCAGTATTTTGTGGCTAAGCTGTCTATAGTACAGAATTTTCTTGATCTGAAGACTATGCTACAAATTTCTATAGAGAAGAACTGCTATAAAATTAAATATTAACACCTATCTAGATTTCCGTCGTCTACCATAAAGTTGGTGTGGCTCAACCTTAATTAGATTATTATACACCTAAAACATACGAGGTAGAATATCATGAGAGGATTTGAATTTCGTCATTAGCAGGAGTCTGTGGTTAGTCTACCTGGTTTGTCATTAGCCTCTGAAATACATGAGACCACATTTTCCATTTGATATGCTTTGAAGACAGATCAGAATCCTTAACATGATTTAGGTCTACTGAGAAGGTCTATAATCCTGCTTTTTAATAAGCCCTCTAGTTCATACCCAAACAGTACTTGTGTATGTCGAGCATTGCTGAAACTCACTGCCCCACTTGTATTCGCTCTGAAGCTGAAATGCATGGTTTTGGAAAAGCATTTACAGAAAATATTCCTGCAATTACAGCAGACAGGGCTTTAAGGCATGAAGACTTCCTGGAAAACCCAGATTGTCTGTGTGCCACGGGTTTGGTTTTTTTTCTAATTTTTTCAGTGGGGGAAGAATTCAACTTTTCACACTTTGAATGCTCTAATATACTTCCCTTTTTAACATTTACTGCTGCGAATATCTGCACAAGCTGAAGTTCTGGCTGTTCGGGGTTGAACTGCTTCTGTCTTGTGGGTCTGCCATTTGCTGGGGAGCTCCAAGGCTGCAGTTACGGCAGCGCTGAGGAAAGAAGGATGAGATGTGCGTCTTGAGCGTAAGTTTGTGTTGAACGTGGGGGGTTTTGTGTTGTTGGAGTTTGTGTTGAAAAAGTTGGTGATCTGTGGATTTTATTTGCTATGGAAGAGAAGAGCTGGGACAGCACCGTGTCACGGGGCTGTGAACCTTGGTAGCTACAATCTTGAGGGAAGCCTTGTGGATGCAAACGCAGACAATGCTGCTGACTCACCATGGTGTGGCAGGAAAAGGCTCCCTTCACTTCTGCTTGCCTCTGCCTTCCTCCAGCATGTGGTTAGTGAGAACCTCGTGTCTGCCTCTGGAGTTCTTTGATACCCTTATCATAATCAGCCTGAGCAGCTTGGCTCCACTAAAAGAACTGGAAGGCTGGTGAAAAATATCTGTGCTATTAACTGGTTAATTTGGATGGCTTTTCTCATGTAAAAGACCTGTGAAGAGAGATACAGGATGATAAATAACCTGTTTTCATTGCTGTCTGCGTCCCTGACTCCTTGCCCCCTGCCCCATGAAGCATCGTGTGGATTTTTATGACTCCTCACCGAGTTGAGATCCTTAGCTCTGGGATGATAACTGTGAGTGGGTGGGTCTGCAGTGAGGAGTGCTCCAGGTGGGTTTTAGAGCCAGTGCTGCCTGCCACCCATCGTAATGCTTGGAGGTGCTGAGTGAAAATGCTCCAGCAAGAAACAGGTGCTGAGGCTTAAAAAAACAAAACAAAAACCCCAACATCAACAACAGAAAAGGATAGTTGTTGTTGTTGGGAACTTGATTACATGTTCTCTTCCAAATTGGATGCTGATGTGAGAGCCTGTTTTCTTTCATAATGTATGTGTTTAAGAACTATTCATCCCACCTACCTCCCAGTGTGATTGGAAAAGGCTCCTATGCTGCTTAAAAAATAAGTGAGATCTGTACTTGACTCTGTTTGCTGATAGGATTTTTGCCTTTGGTTTTAATAGGAGGACAACAGTCCTCTATGGGCAGAAAAATATGTCATCTAATTAAAAAGGCAAGTAAATTAAAGCACAGTGAAATCAGTATATTACTTCTTACCTCCTACACTTGTGGTGATTTGTTTAGTTTTTTGAAGAGACTTCAGTGCATTTGGATATTTGACTTTTTTTTTTTTTTTTTTTTTTTTTTTTAAAACTCCTCGGGGTGTTT